AAATTTCGGTATCGATCAAGCTAATATTGATAAATGCAATGGAAAATAAATTGACAACAATTATAAGATTAAAATGGTTCGGGAATTGAAGAAATTAACAAAAGCGAATGTCTTGGTAATAGATTTTTATTTTTTTTAGATTCGTTTTAATCGAAATTATGTTCATTAAGATGTGTTGTGTTTTTTATAACTCATCTTGTATTGATAGCTTTTTTTCTTTAATTATTAAAATAGGTACCTAATTCACATGTTCAAATGGAAGTACATGCACGACTTATTTTCATATTGTCATATTACCGACTTTTATGAATCATGAATCATTGTGTTCATGTTACTTCTATCATATGAACACATGTTATTTTTTAAGCTTGATACCAAATCTTTATATTTGTGTAAGTGTTTGTACCTTGTGTTCATAGCGTTGGGGTTATGTGTTCATATATTTTATACGATATGAACAAGAGGTGAACACGATATGAACAAGGGGTGAACAACCATATAAGATCAGAAACATATATGAACAAGGGGTGAACCTTAAACGGTGTGGATGCAATGCATGTATAAAACTCCAATTGACAAATGATCGCTCATGAATGTGTTTATAATGAAGGAACTATTGTTCACAAGCTGTTCATATCGTGTTCATACCTGTTTTTTTATTTATTTCTTTTCGTATAGCAGTTATTCTTATTATGTTCATATTATGTTCATAAATGCTATGCAGTCCAAGTTCATATATATGTCAAATTTTTGTTCGTATTTGACACAATGGTTCATATATATATAGTTGTGTTCATATGGTTTTTACATTAACAAAAAAATCATAGAATTTTTGATTTTGTAACTTCCAATTAATTAATGATATGAGAGTTGCATAATTTTTTTACCTAAATACCCTTTTCAACATTGTTTACTTATCTTTATGCAATTTTAAATTTAAAAAAAATAATTTTGTATCATGATTAATCACAACCGTTTATTGAAAAATTGAATGACCAAGATCGGTTAACAAAGTTAATACAAAAACTTTGGTTAACATTTGATCTTACCCCTATATATATATGAACCATTGTGTCAAATACGAACAAAAATTTGACATATATATGAACTTGGACTGCATAACATTTATGAACATAATAAGAATAACTGTTATACGAAAGGAACTAAATAAAAAAACAGGTATGAACACGATATGAACAGCTTGTGAACAATAGTTCCTTCATTATAAACACATTGAGGAGCGACCATTTGTCAATTGGAGTTTTATACATGCATTCCATTACCAAGACATTCGTTTTGGTCAATTTCTTCACTTTCTGAACTAGAACTCCGATTGTCGCCATAAACCATTTTAATCTTCTCAATGTTGTCGATTTTTTTCCAATGCGTTTATCCATAACAGCTTGAACAATACCGAAAATTTTACTACCGTGTTTCCTCCACGAGTCAAAAACTCATAAAACAATAAAAATAGAAGATCAAGATTAAAAAATAAATAAAAATATCAATATTATAAATGCATATTTTTAGGAATTTTATGATTTTGTAACTCCCCTTTAATTGTATGGGAGTTACATAGTGAGGGGCGGACCGCCATATGGGCCTATAGGGGCCCTGGCCCCTGTGATTTTTTTTGTAAGCAGGCTTAGTAGTTTTCCAATGCTCCTGTAAAATACCAACAAATTTCTACCGGCCCCCTCCCTCCATTCCCCCTCCAATCTCCATAGCGAAGAGCGACTGCCCGACTGTGCGTGCGAGAGCGACGGAAGCGGAGTAGCGAACGACGACAAAGCAGAGGGAACCGGCAGGAGGAGGCGGCACTCGGCGTCGGCTGTCTGCGGTCAGTGCCTCAGCGGWCTGCCTGTCTCGGCGGTCGGCGGCCACTGTGAGTCGGTGACGGAGTCATGGAGCGGTAACTCCAACTCGGTAAGTTCTGCACTTCTGCTGCAACTGTTTACAGTTTACTGCACTTCTTTTCCTTTTCTTTTGAAATCAAAACCCAACAGCCTGTTTGAGTGTTTGTTGAATATTAGGTCTAAATGACTAAATTTATGACTTAATGTGGTGATTTACTGATTTAGGTGATTATTAATATTARRTCTWAGTCTAAAWTTGRTTAYMTAMTGGTTTGTAAGTTTGTTGCTGCACCAAACAGCCTGTGTTTCTTTCATTCTTTGGCAGTTTGGCTCATTGTCTCATAACTCATTGGCTGAATTTGGTTATCTACTGGTTTGTAAGTTTGTTGCTGCACCCTGTCTCACTGCCACTGGTTTGGATTATTGGATACAATTAGGTGGTTTATTACTTATTAGGTTTAAATTTATGTGGAAATTAAGGTCTAAACTCTAAAGTCTTTTGAACTAAAATCAGGAAGAAATTCTGCAAATCCCAATCTAGCAGTCTCGTTTTGGAGGGAGGAACTTGCCGAGTTTTTCTTGCGCAGTTGCTTCCTGTTTCCTACACTACTCACCATTGTAGTTTCCCGGCTCCTTTTGGATAATAAATTTTTCATCTTCTTTGCACCACTTAAAGATGGTATCCAGCCCTCATCAATTAGCTTTGTAGACTGAGATGAGGCTCCAGATAGATCAAAAGCTTCTGGAATCATCTTTATGCTCATCAAATCAGGTTTGGTGTTAGTAACATCTGCTAAACTTGGTTGGCCAGATTTCTGAATTGGCATTTCTTCCAAAAGATTCTTTCTAGACGCTGACCTGTATTTGGAACTGGAACGAGCTTTCCTCTTTACACTCGACATCGAAAAAGCTTCTCTGAAGCTCCCTTCAGTCTCACTGGGACGCATATGGGCAGTGTATTTTTGGTACCTTTAAAATATATAATATATTAGGTTCGGCCCCTACGGTTTGAAAGTTTGTGTTCCGCCCCTGTACATAGCAAATGAAATTACTCCATTACCCTTGGCATTAAATTGTGAACATGATAGAAACCTAATAGAAGAATGAATTGTGATTGGTTGACATGGTTTGCAAAGTTAACACAAAAACTTTGGTTAACATTTGATCTTGTCCCTATATATATATATATATATATATTATTAAAATGATATATATAATTATGAAACTGTTATTGAACTACATTAAAAATAAATGATTCATATTTTTGGAATAAAACAAATAATAAATTTGTAAGAATAATGATTTTAAGAATGCATGCGTTAGCATTGTCGACAGAAAGATGGAAATTGCTATAACTAAGTCCACCACGGCACCTTCCGTCTCGTTATGAGAGCATTTTCTTGAAATTATAAATTTTAAGGATTTTGTACCATTTTTTACTCCATAAATATTTTTTAAATGAATAAAGTAAATAAAATATTTATGGATCGTTTACGAAACGCTTAATCTGGTAAACGTTACTTAAGAACAAGACAATGACCAAGAGTCTTACCCGGTAAGTGATAACAACGATTTTTACCATGGTAAGTGCTTACCGAGTAAATTGTTGCATATAGTATCATTTTGATAGACTAAAATCTTACTCGATAAGTAAATAATAATATTAAATTTTACCGTTAAATATTTGATAAACTACCCTTAGTAAAATTCATTAAATTTAAGAACTCATTAAATTGATTATTTATAAGAGACAAATGGGCTTTTATTATTTCCATACAAAATACTTAAAATTGAATATTCAGGGAAAAAACATTTTATTAATGAATTAAAACTTTAATAATATAAGTAATGATTTTATCTTTAAAATGGAAAAAGAAGAGTTCAATATAATTTTTATTTTTGAAAATATTGATTTTTCAATTATCCGACTTCAAAAAAATCATAAAATCTATTGAAGATGCTTTTGATAAATTGTAAGCAAGCAAATGACTTTCGATCGGGAATCAAATCTTGCTTTATATTTGAACGTCAACACCTTGATCAGATAGAACGTTTCGAACAATTCAACGAGAACGATGAAACTGAAAAGACTGAAAGTAAAACGAAGTATTTTTCCTTATAGCCATCAGATTAGATAAGAGTATTCATAATGAGAGATTCTTATAAACGAAAAGTAAAGTTACTAAAAATTACCGTCACAAGTTAGTAAGATTGTTTTGGTTATTGTGTCAAATATTATTTTATTATATATTTTTTACTTGTATACCCTCATTAAATTTAAGAAAAAGTGAAATTCTTACAAGTTTGTCGTGTTAAAGTCTTATAAAAATTCTTAAGTCTTATAAAAATTCTTAATTTGATAAGTTGACGACATTATTATGTAGGTATAACATGTACCATTTACCTCGTGGTTGCATATTAATGTTGACTTTTGAAAGTCAAATGCATCTTTGCAACCAAACTACGGTTAAGAATTCAAGGTGTTTGAGATTGCTTATAAAAACAACTTATTGACTTATTCTGATGTGTCACAGGTAATAAGCACTTTTGAGTGTATGAAATTATGAATAAACAACTTATACTGGTGTCAAACAGGTAATAAGAAAGCTTTTGAAGAAGTTAAAACACTTCTGACTTATAATAAGTTAAGTGTTTTTATAGAAAAACATAAAAGCAATCCCAAACACCCGGTAAACAAAATAAAAACCATACCCATAACACCAAATCGATTTGTATACACTTAAAATCTGTATGGAATCAAGAACTGGTTTACATCTTGATCCAAAGATCAGCATCCTACAAGAAACCCATGGGTTGCCAACACTCAACTTGTTCATCTATCAACCTAACAACAAGTGTTTCTATCTTTATAGCTTTTCTTGTTTTGCTGTTTTATTGAATACAACATATAACAAATTCACATTTCTCATTATCTTTCTTGAATACAACTCATACCAAGAACACATCAAACACCCAAATGAACCTCCAGGTGGAGGATTTGCAGATAGATATACATCAGAAAAGAAGTCTAAAAAGGTTGAAACCCCATTAACATGAAAGTGATAAAGATGAAGACACAACACATCAAACACCCAAATGAAACTCCAGATGGAGGATTTGCAGATATATATCAAAAAAGAAATCTTGAAAGTTAACAAAACCCATTAACATGAATGTGATAAAGATGAAGACAGAACACATCAAACACCCAAATGAAACTCCAGATGGAGGATTTGCAGATATATATCAGAAAAGAAATCTTGAAAGTTAAAAAACCCATTAACATGAAACTGATAAAGATGGAAGACAATAAAAAGCTACATTGTGTAAAAGATACCTATGTCCTACTTCATTAAACATCATTGAAGCTCAATAGTGGCAAAAACCACTCCATTTGCAGTCTGCAAGATGATATCATTTATCAGAATCCATCTTTCTTGCAGATTTTTCATCTTTCTCCTCCAATAACTTGCCAGATTCGTCGTCTAGATGACTCGCCTTCTTCTCGGCTTCTTTGGCCTTAAGTGCCTGTAACTTGGCATGATTATAATAAGCAACACCCAAGAAAGCAATCAAGTAACCGAACAGATTGATTGGAGTCACTGTATCCTTAATCACAGACCACGAAAATGCAATCAATAACCAATCCTTAACAACTCCAGCCACATTCATAGTCAATGCAGATGTCTTCCCAACCAGCAAAAACACAGCAAGATTTAAAGCAAACGCACACAACGAATTCGTCCCAAATATGAAGTAATCGAAATGGAAACTAGAAGTATCCCTCAATTTGGGAAGCTCTACAATGATCCAAGGAACAGATAAGAACACCAAACAGCAAGGGGCAACATAATAAAGAGATGTTATCGGATTGAACGAAATCCCCTTTGAAGTTAACAAAATCTGAATCAAAACCAAACGGGTAGCCTCAAAAACAACAGCACCAAGCTGTAACATAACCCCCCATGAATTAAACTTAGCTTCACCATAAGCAGCAACAGCAACCCCAAAAGAGATTGATAGCATATTAGTCATGGTCTGACCTTTAAACCCCTCTTTCTTAAACAAAACACTAAGAGAATAAACAGCAACAGGCATTAAGGCTTTAAGCATTTGAATAAACGAAACAGAAAGATAAATGTAAGCAGAATTGGAAAGCCATAAGCTAAGAGAGTAGAGAAAGCCGATTGGAACAACAGATTTGAGATAAACATCACGAGTCATTTGAACTGGTTCGACAACTTTGAGTATACTGACGAGAATGTAAGCCAAAGAAGAACAGAAACCCATGTGAATCATGGTTAGTGAAATGGGGTAAGGCCAGTTGTACATATTGCGATCAAGTATGTACTTGTTGTAGACGATGACAGTGAAGCTGAGGAAGATCCATATAGCGACATAACTGTAAGAGAGGATGATCTTCTTCAAAACACCTTCACTTAGGGCTCCTCCTCTTCCCATTTTGGTTGGATTAGATCTGAGCAATTTCTTGAGCAAATTGATCGATTGAAATGGAGAAGGAAGAAACCCAGAAATGGAATTGAGGATTTAGGAGAAAATTTGAGATGGGTATGGAAGAAATTGAAGTGGTAAATTTATGGGGATTAGGTCAGATGTAGAGAGGTTGGATTTCGATGGCATGTGTGTTTAGACTCTTGTGTCAAACCGAGGTCGTCGGTGGTAAAATTAAATAGAAGAAACAAGAATACATAATGTAATATTAAATTAAAATAATAATAAAAATAATTAAGATTTCCAGCATCTTCAACAAATTATTTATGTGTTTTTAGAATATGAGTTGTGTATCTGTACAATACGGTAAGAGCTGTGAATTTTAACAATTTTAAAGTTTTAATGATTTTATTATAGAAAATTTAACGATTATATAAGTCATATTTGATCTTTATATATTAATACAATTTGAATAACTAAGAGTTATGGTTCCAATTACAGTTTATCGATGAAAAAAAATTGTATGACAGGTTAAAATCCAACATAAACGACTCCACAAATATGTTCGATTTACACCAAGAGCAATTAATCAAGAGATTGAGAGCTAGATCGAGAGTACTAGAGCAATTGAATGAGAGAACTTTTAATAACTCATGATGAATATCAGTTTGAATCTCACATTGGGGATAGTGATAGAAAATAGAGATATGAGAGGGTGAAAACATGAGTGAAATGTGTCAAAAGTATCTTGGAAACATGAAAAGAAAATGTAATAATGTGCATTAGTAACTTGTACTATATGTTATTTTAATTGTAGATAGAGGTAAGAAATTTTAAGATTGAATGCATAAAGTAGTAGTACTTAATACATTACTAGTTGTGTACCCGCGCAATGCGACGGGAACCATGAATTTTAACGATTTTGAAGTTTTACTGGTTTTATAAGATAAGATTTAACGATGATATAGATTACACTTGGTCTTTACATATTAATACAATTTGAATAAATAAGAGTTATGGTTCCAATTACAGACTATCGATGGAAAAAATTGTATAACAGTTTAAAATCCAATATATTTAAACGACTCCACAAATGTGTTCGATTTACACCAAGAGCAAAGAACCAAGAAACTTGAGTTTTAAGATAAACACTCAAAATCAATAAAGAAAACTACA